AAAGCCCGTTTTTCAAAATGTTCCATGTAGAAATTTGCTACGACTGGGCTCAGGGGGCTTCGCCATGGGAAGAGTTGCTTCTTTCACGGCCACACAGCCCGGAAGACCCACACCAGCCATCACTTTTCTCTTTTTGTTAAAAAATACAAGTTTTTTTCATGAAAAATATTTATGTTAATATCTGATGGGTTTAATATTGTTATTTCTACATGATTCAATAAATAAATATTCTATGAATGCATTAATTTTAATTTTTAATATGGTAAATATTGATAAAATATAACCTATACAGACAAAAGCTCTTTTGGGCTCCTCCATAATTTTTAAAAGTGGGAAGGGGTCTCGAGAGCAAAAACTTTAAGAAACAGTGTTTTAGAGTATTAAGACAGTAGGTCAAAATGTTAATGTCTGACCTAGACATCCCAGACTGATCCCGGAAAGGACTTCTGTAAAAAGTGTATCTTCATGATGCAGGGATTATATTTAACAATACAGAGACAGTGACTTTCTTTTGATACATTCCCATTGTTTCCTGATTTAAGATTCTTGTTTGACATATAGTTAGGACAGGGTTACATTGTTAAATGCTGTGAACTGTTAATGACATGCCTTCAAGAGAGAGTAATGGCACCAGATATATTGCAGTTGAAATGTTGCATTTCACCACAAGGGGCAAGGTGACAGCGTTCAGCATTTATATGAGAGTTGTTCATGATCTGTGTGCTGAAATCATAATGGGGAGAGGGCTGCGATTAACAACATAATAACATAATAATGACATTGGTTCGCTCCCTCCTCAAGAAAGCCATTGCTAGATCCTACCATACTGGACAATTTTCATTCAGTATCCATCTTTTAGGGAAGGTTGTGAAGAAGATGGTCATGTAGCAGCTTCAGCGGACCCTGGATGAAGTGGATCATCTGGATCCCTTTCAGTCAGGATTCAGACCTGTGCATGGGACAGAAACAGAATTGGTTGTGCTTTTGAATGATCTCTGGTGGGAGTACAATGGAGGTAATGCATCCAACCTGGTTCTACTTGACTTCTCGGTAGCTTTTGATACCATCAACACTACGGTAGTGTCTGCCTGGATTGGCTCCATGGAGTGGGAGTGGGGGCACTGTACTGTGTTGGTTCTCTTCCCTTCTATGGGGCCAATATCAGCTGGTGTTGATTGGGAGTGAGAGGTTTTAGCACCTTTCAGACTGGGAGCTTTATCATCTTTGGTACTGGGTGGGGTTGCACTGCCCCAAACAGAGCTGCTGAGCAATCTGGGTGTCCTTTTGGACTCACAACTCCTGTTCAAGGAGCAGGTGGCAGTTGTGGCTAGGAGGGCCTTTGCACAGCTTTGTGTTATATGCCAGTTGCACCCATTTCTGGATCGGGAGACTCTACTTACTCATGCCCTGGTCACCTCCTGAATGGACTACTGTAATGCACTGTGCCTGGGGCTGCCCTCGAAGACTATCTGGAAGCTTCAGCTAGTGAAAAACGGGGCAGCACGGACAGTTATGTGTGCCCCTAGAACTGCACATGTTACACCTCTGCTTCGCAAGCTGCACTGGTTACCAGTTTGCTTCCGGATTCAATTCATGGTGCTGTTTTTGACCTTTAAATCCCTACATGGCATGGAACCAGGTTATTTGAGGGATTGCCTGGTTACATCTACCCATCCCATCCGGTCTGGCAGGAGGGGCATGTTACGGGTCCCATCTCATGGGACCCAGGAGACGAGCCTTTTCTGCTGTGGCACTCACCCTTTGGAACATCATCCCCCCACCCCGCCCGAGGTGAGATTAGCCCCTGTCAGGTTTAGACCAAGAACCACAACAAGACAGTCCAGGAACAATTCAGTTACTTTATTAGCTTACA